AGACAGCACGGCCAGCAGCGACGCCTCGGTCTCAGCGTCGTTTGTCGAGGTGAACGTTCTGCGCGACGACCTCAATGCGTTACGCCGCTACCCCGACAACTCCATCCGCACCGCCAAGTATACGTGGTTGACGTGCTTTCCGCTTAGCCTGCTGTACCAGTTTAAAAAGGTATCAAATATATACTTCCTTGTTGTCATGCTGCTTTCTATTATTCCTGGCGCAAGCCCAGTCAACCCGTTTAGCACAATTGTGCCGCTGTGCATCGTGCTGGGGGCGTCAATCTGCAAGGACCTCTGGGAGGACGGCAGGCGACGGCAGGCGGACAAGCGGGCAAACAACACGAGGGCGTTTGTGTTGCGGGGGTCAAGCTTCGTCGGGGTGCCCGCCCATTCTGTGCGCGTGGGAGAGGTGATGCTCTGCAAGCTTGGCGAGGAGGTGTTGGCAGATGTGGTGTTACTGAACTCATCCCTTGCGGGGGGCGTTGCGTACATTGAGACGGTCAATTTGGACGGGGAGACCAACGCCAAGACGCGACGGGCGAAGACGCAGACAATTGAGGCGCTGGGGGTAACAGAGGACATCATTGAAATTTGTCTCCCGGACCCCGCAATGCGGGCGCACTTTTTGTCGCAGGGCACCACGGCATCGTGGCGAGAGCGGGCGGCATCAGCAACTGACGCGTCTGGTCCCACGCCTGTAGAGTTGCCGAAAATGCCGTCGAAGGCGTTTGGGACGGGGCGGACAGAGCCCAGCAAGAGCATGTCGCAGCCCGGCCCGCGAGAGGGGGTGCGTGCAAAGGAGGAACCCTTTTCTGTGCAGCCCGTGCCCAGCGCCGGGGCTTCGATGCACCCGTTGGAAGTCGACGCACACGCACGTTCGCAGACATGTGGCGTTTGGGAACACTCGGGCGCGGAGGCTGCGGGGTTTCACCGGCGGCAGCTCACTTTCGATGAGCGGTTTGTGGTGGGGCGCGAGATCCCGGTGCCGTCGGACATTTTGGAGCTCTCGCGGCGGTACAAGGAAAAACACACGCGGCACCAGCACCAGCAGCAGCAGCAGCAGCAGCAGCAGCAGCAGCATTATCACCAGCACAGCTCCTCCAACTTTTTGTTCCCCGGTAGTGAGGTGGTGCGGCTGCCCCCCGAGAAGGAGGTTCCCGACACCGTCGAGCAGGGTGTCGAGAGCAGCATCAACGAAAACAAGGGAATTGTGCTTCTCGGCGCCCCCCCGTGCAGCGAGCTCTACTCCTGGATTGGGCAGCTGCGGCTGCCAGGCGGTGAGCTCGTTCCCTTGGGCATCGATCAGCTGCTTCCTCGCGGGTGTGTGATACGTAACACGGAGTGGGTCCTCTGCGTGGTGATCTACACCGGCAGGAATACGAAGATGCTGCTCAACCTGCGGCCTAAGCCCATGAAAATGTCTGTGGTTGCCCGGCGCATCAACATCCTCAACTGCTTCCTCCTCGTGGTGCATCAGTCCTTCCTCTTTTGTCTCTGCGGACTCGCAGTGATGTGGCGGAACTCGCACCTGGAGGCCCCACCGGGCACACGCAGCGGGTACTCGACGTGGTACATCCAATGGAGCCTCTCACACTATACTCCGGCCGAGATGTTTGGGTGGCGGTACTTCACCAACTTCGTCCTCCTCTCCTACCTCATTCCACTCTCCCTGTACGTCACGCTGGAGTTCAACAAGGCGATTCAGATGGTTCTCATCGCCCGCGATCGGCGCATGGCGAACTACGATGAATTCCTTGGCGAGCTGCGCTACTCGCGCCCCAAAACCTCGGAGCTAAACTGTCAGCTGGCGCATGTACGGTACATCTTCACAGACAAGACCGGGACGCTGACAGAAAACATCATGACCTACGTGGGCGGCTGCACGGCGACGACGGAGCACAACGAACAGGAGCGACCTGGTGGCCTTGGTGAGGACTTTCTTTCTCTCCTGCAATCGCGCCGACGCAGGACTGGGGCCGAGGCAAACGCGACGCCGCCTCGCCCCTTCCGCGGCTTTGCTGCGCGCCTCTTTTTTGACGAGACCGTGGTGGAGTCAGAGCCGCTCTTTCAGTACCTGCGCGCGCTTGCGCTGTGCCATTCCGTCGTCTGCTTTGACCGCGCCTCCGTGGAGCAGGGCGCCTTGGGCTCCACCATGGGCTCTGCCACGCAGAGGCCGCACGGGTGTGAGGCTGACTTGCCGCATTTTCCCGGGGTGGGTTGTGAGCCACGAGAAGGGCCGGCTTCAGAACACTCCGTGCCGGCCGCATTGACTTCGGCAGGGTCCGGCTTTCAGCAAAGCATTTCTGTGTTCCACGACAGCACCGGCGGCGTCGGTCGGCTGCTACAGGGACGTGCGGGAAGTGCAAGTTGGTACGCGACACGCCACAATGATATCCAGACGCACCAGCGCTCCGCAACCATGTCAAAGCTTGTGAGTGTGCTGAAGGACGAGTCAAAGATATACGAGGCTCAGTCGTTGGACGAAATTGCGTTGGTGACAGCCGCCCGCGATAACCTCTTTGCGCTACAGAAGCGGAGTGCGACGCATATGTTTATAAAGGCTGTGGATAGAATGATGTGCTACGAGATCATTGCCGAGCTGGAATTCACGCCGCAGCGGAAACTAATGAGCATTTTACTGTTCCGCCGCCCAGAATGCGACACGGAGGTGTTTGAGCAGAATGACACGCCGATCAGTTATCACCGTCACTCCGCCCCCGCAGCGCCTCCCCGTGAGTTGCGAGAGGTGGAGGGGCAGCCGGTTGGGATTGTCGACATCATTCCCCTCGCGCCAGAGCCTCCGCTTGCGGATGAGGCGAGGGAGGGCACCACTCCCAAGGTCGATGTGGCTTTTTGTGGAAGGTCTGAGGAGCGTCCCTACTTGTTGCTGGTGAAGGGGGCGGACAGTAGCATGATGCCCATTTTGAACAAAACTAACCCGCGAAACGCCGAACTGAAGCCCATTTTTCAGCGGGAACTGGAAGCAATGGCACAGAATGGTCTTCGCACCCTTGTGCTGGGACAACGATATCTTTCGGAGAGCGAGGTGCGAGAGTGGCTACCGTGCTTCAACGAGGCTCAGTGCTCGATGCAAGACCGCAGTGAGAAGCTGCATGTCGTCTATGCGATGCTGGAAAAGGAGGTGGATCTCGTGGGCACCACGGCGGTGGAGGATCGGCTTCAAGAAGGGGTCCCTGAGACGCTACGGTTTTTCTTGGAGGCGGAAATTGTTGTGTGGATGCTCACGGGCGACAAGCGTGAGACAGCGGTGACGATTGCGGGAACAAGCGGCCTCATCGACGCCGAGTTTGCGGATTGTGTGGTGCATTTGGACCTTGCGGAGGCCTCTGCAGGGTTTGCTGGAGCTGCCGAGGCCGCCGCCGACGTCGCGGTGTGGGGATCCCTGCAGCAGCAGATGAAGGCCGCCGTGCAAAGGTGCGACGCCTCAGAGGAGGAGCACCGCGGCCTTCGCACCGTCATTTTGGTGGTGGATGGGCGGACGTTGGACATCATCTTCACGGATGAGCACTGCACGCAGGAATTCTTTAAGCTTGGCATTCGCTGCCGCAGTGCGGTGTGTTGTCGCATGACCCCGCTGCAAAAGGCGCGGATTGTGAAGCTGTTTCAAAAGAACACAAGCTCCATTGCCCTGGCCATCGGCGACGGCGCAAATGACGTGTCCATGATTCAGGAGAGTCACATTGGCGTTGGCATTATGGGGCTAGAGGGCTCCCAGGCGGAGTTGTCCAGCGACTACGCCATCCCCAAGTTCCGATTTTTAAAGCGGCTGCTGATGGTGCACGGTCGTTTCGCCATGTACCGCGACGCCCACTGTATTATGTTCAGCCTCTACAAGAATGCAGTGCTGTGCACCGGACTCGTGACCTACGCCTTTTTCTGCGGTTTCTCCGGTCTGATTTTGATTGAGTCCTGGTTACTGGCGATGTTTAACCTTTTCTTTTGCTCTCTGCAGCCGCTGGCGCTTGGCATCTTTGACAAGGACGTCGACGACGAACTGGCCGAGTCCCTCCCGTCTCTCTACCCGGCACTGGCGCGTGAGCAGATGTTCTTCAGCTGGCCGTACATCATCAAGTGGCTCTTTGACGCGGTCGTGGACGGGCTCGCGCTGTTCTTCGTTATTTTCTACACCGTGGGGAAGTGGGACGAGTTGTACCCGCACCGCACCGCCGCAATCGAGGACTACGGCGTGCTGTTTTTCATGATGATGCTGCTTGTGCTGAACCTCCGCATCGCCGCGCTCATGACGTACTACACCGCCCTCTCAGCCGCCGTCATCGCCTTTGGCTTCGTCGCGATCCCGGTGCTGACGCTTCTGTACTCCACATTACCGAATGTCCTTGGGTCGAACTGGTGCGTGGGGATCGCCCATGAGCTGATGCATACCGGCAAGTTCTGGATGCTGATGCTCTTCGCCGCCGGTGCTTTCATCGTGTACGGGGTGGCGGTGAACATGTACATTGCGCTGTTTTGGCCGTGGACGAACGGCGGGCCCGCCATGCGGGCGGCGTGGCGCTCGCCGTACCGAATGGAGCACAAGCAGCGCATGCAACTCCTCCGCTGAGACCCGGGGGACACGAGGCGGGGGAAGGGAGGAGCAGCCCACGAGGCGAACAAAAGCTTCCGGTAACAGAGGAAGGCGTCTGAGGATGGAAGTAAGAAGCGGGGTGCGGACGTTTTTCTTTATAATATAATATAATAATAAATATATATATCTTGCGGCTTGCGCGGGTGTAGGTGACACCGGTATGGAACGAGGGAGAGGGGCGAAGAGGAGACGGTGTCTGTGCACCCGCAGTACCCTTGTGTGTGTCTTACTTGCCTGCAGTGGGAGTGTGTGTGTCTGTGCGTGTTTAATCGTAGATCTAAATGCATATGTTTATCCGTGTAATGTGCGTGTATGGGTACAGGCATGGTTTGCCATGCTATCCTGTCTCTCTCACTGTTGTTGTTGTTGTTGTTGTTGCCTGTTGTTGTTGTTGTTGTATTGATTTATAGTTTTTACCATGTGTGCTTGCACGCATGTGTGGGTGCTGTAAGCCGTTTTTTTTTGTTAACTGTATATATATATGTCTATGTATATGTATATATATACATACATATATACTTGTCTATCCAAAACGAAAGCTTTTTTTTTTTTGAGGATGCTGAGGTAGGAGTTTTTACTTTTTTTTTTTCTGGCGCTTTTTTTTATTTATTCCGTCTCTCTCTCTCTGTGTCTGTGTGTGTGTGTGTGTCTTACTCTGTCTTTTCTGCTGTATTCTGTCGCCTTTTTCCAGCTCCCCCAACCCCCCACATCCCACTCCGCAGTGCCCGAGGTGTCGGGCGCAGGGATGCGGGAGAGGGTGGCGGTGGAAGCAGTGAGGCGGACGTGCAC